TTTTGCTTTCGTTTTTTTATGCACATAACTTATTCTTAAATGGCCTCAAGTATGTCTTTTCTATGCTTAATGTTTGGAGACTTGTAAAGAGAACTGTTTTCTAAGTATGCCCAAGAGGTGATTAATAAAAGCAGAATCATTTATTTTGTCCAGAGATCTGTATTCTCTTGGTTTTACCTGTCTGAGGTATCATAATACCCATAATACCTCTCAGATGCCAAGTGATCAAAGTGCCAGAGCTGAATGTGAGATCAGTAATTGTACACACACCGGCCACTGAGCACACTCCTTCCTGCTGGCTGACCCACTGACTGCTTTGGCAGGAAGAGATGGGTGCGTTCCTGGGTCCCATTGGGTTAGCATAGGCACTTTTACTGGTGCATCTTAGCTGCTGATGCCTGAAAATTTGGCCTTGATTATTTATAGAAAGGAAAAGTGGTCTGAGCTGTCAGCCTTGATATTACCTAAACCTACATAGAATGTGGTAAAATAATAAGAGATTTGTTTTCTAGGCCTGTTTCCTATTTTCCAGGTAATAGATCAAATCAGTTTAGGGTTCATTTTTGGTCCTTTAGAAAGCTGACACAGTATGCTTGTTGGCAGTAAAATAAGAATGCACTTTTAACAGAAGTACCATCTAGTCCAAGTTGCTGTTTGTACTATTCATTAATAACTAAGGTGCCTTGAGATTTGCTTCATACTTTCAGGAGGGACTTCTTTCCTTTGTAAAGGGAACCCTTCCTCTTCTCTGTCATCATCTCCATTTGCTAACTTAGCCCCATTGTCAGTTGTCAATTTCTTTCGCTGTAATTTATCTTTCATGTAAGAAGAATCAATAAATCATATATGAGAGCAAGTTGAAGAGTAGACACTTTCCTCTGTCCACACATTGCCCGTTAAAAGGGAAAGATAGTGAATTCATGTTATATAGATTATATTGAGGCAAAAATGATCTACTTGTATATATACATAAAGGGTAAATTATTCAGTTAAGAAAACAATAATTTTATGGACTGCTTGTATAAATGAGGTGTATACAGAAAGTGGTTCTACAGTCTGTTTATTGGGTATGTACGTGACCAGAAGGGAGACAGTCATTTGAGCACAACTTTTAAAGTCTGCATTACATTCCTCAAGAAAGTTACAGTTTGCTGTCCTTTCCAAGAATTAGAAATGTAAAAAGTTTAAAAATAATAATGATAATTTGCATGCTACTTCAATTGTGAATTGATAATAAACTGTTTTCTTCCAGAAAACCAAAATTTGGACCTAAACATTCCTTTTACATTTTAGACAGTAAGCAATCTTCTTAGTAAGTCAAGAGAGTAAGGTTCTTTAAGCACTCTGTTTTACTGCTTTTAACTTCTGGTAGCGTTGGAATTAAAACAATGTCAAAGTAAAAAATATATATATATACATATATATAGCTGCAAAATCAGTCACTTTTATTCAACAAACATAAGAAAATGTGAACTGTTGTTTCTCAACATAGTCTCCACCTAGGTCTATATACTTCAGAAGGTGTTTCCATCTCTTTAGCTCTTTCTTTAAAAAATCTATGCCCTTTGCTTTATACCACATCAAAAGGGCAGTTTGGGTATCCGCAAGGGAGTCAGGTCAAGTGATTTTGTAATATTCTTTGAGATTTGGGGACAAAAAGAAGTCAAAGGGGGCAAAATTAGGGATGTAGGGTGGATGGGGTAAGGTTTCTCAATGAAATTCTCTTAGACCAGCTTTCGCTTCCATCAAATATGAGCAGGTACATTGTTCTGCTAAAAAAATAAAATTCCTTAGCATCACTTTCCTGGTGTTACTAATCATTAGTGAAGTTTTCAATTTTCTTAAAAAAACAACAACAGATTGTTCTGTGCTCCTCAGGAAAACCTATCAAGTAGATGATTTATTAATTCTTACATAAAAGATAAATTGCAAGGTAAGAAAATAGGAATTGACAGTTAACAATGGGATTAAGATTCCAGATGGCAATGATGCAGGAGATGAAGTGTTCTCATTACAAAGAATGAACTAAAATCTCAGTTTCCCCACTGAAAGTGTGAAGCAAATCTCAAAGGCTCCCTAGTTACTAATGAATAGCACAAAACAGTCACTGTGACCATCTGAGCTGACCTCTCTGCCTTGAATCTAACTGGCCCGGCAGATCCCCTTGGAAGCCACTGCTTTAATTGGATGTTGCTCTGTGGATCATATTGATAAATCCAAGACTCATCCCTGGTTGTGATTCATTCCTTAATATCATCTTCATTAGTTTCAACCTTGCTTAAAAGACTGATGGAAAAATCAGTTCTTTGAGCTAGCCGATCTTTGTGCAATGCTTTTGGCATCCTTTGAGCTGAAAGCTTAGATACTCATTTAAAAGTGAAAATGCCAATCCATGTGGATCCCAACTTCAGTAGTTATAGCATCATGGTAATTCTATGACCTTCTGCCAGTGTCTGGGCTTTAGCTACAGTTTCTTATTCACTGAGGTTGACAATTTTCCCTCTCTTAGCTCATCTTTGAGGTCTTCCTGACCTTCCTTAAAACACTTGACACATCTAAAAACTGATTTTTAATGTGGGGCAGCATTCCTATCAACTTGTTGAAAAGCTTCAATTATTGGGAAGCTGTCCACTTGAGTTTTGTTGAAAAACTGATATTAGCCCTGACTTCAAAATCATTTTTTTTCCATGACACAAAAAGTATCCTACCCCCTTCTTTTAAAAGATACCCTAATGAAACTAAGGCAAGTGTATTATTGAGAGAACTTATCAGTAACCATCCATTGATCACAGAGAATTGTTTAAACAAGTTTTGCTTGGAATAAACCAGCATGTGTGAACTTTAACACTAGTAACAATACTTGTTTTGTTTTTTAAGTTTTTATTGTGAATTGAGTGAAAGTTTACAGGGCAGATCATCAGTTTTACATTCAACAAATCATACACCTTGTTTCATTACAGTGATTATAATCCCCTCCATGTACCATCAGTTAACAGTATTTCTCTCTATTCGTTTTTGCATTTACTTATTTTTTAATACGTAGGCATATATGATAAGTTATACCACCAAAAGGCACATTCTGCAAGTCTGCCTCTTGGCCACCAGCTCTCAGTCCCTCTCTTCCCATGAATCTAGAATCCTCAGCTGCTCCCTCTCTCCATGTCCCCATCTCTGCCTCCATCTCTGGTGTCACTGCTTCTCTGGATAAGGTCCTGCATTCTGCTTGTGCTCTTCTCCCTTGATGGTTCTAGAGCCCTCTGTTTCTGGACTGTAAAGTTAACTACTCCCCCATTTTTGTTGCAAAACTTCTACCTTTACAATTGTGACAGTCGCATTTAGTCATGATAACAATTAGTCACTATTGAATCTTAAGAATCTTATCTCCATCTCTTTTTATCAGACCCATCTAGACAAGATGGAAACTATTCAGTGGGGACACTATCTTCCCTCACACACTCTTAAACTAAACTCCCTCTTGAACCCTGAGTAGCAAAACTTTTTGACTTACTCTTATATATATATCTCATGTTCTTCCCCAAATCTTGACACTTCCCTCTGCCTAGAATGCTGCCTTCCAGATAGGCACTCCCTCACTTCCTTTAGGTGCTTTTCCAAAAGTCAGCCCTGAGCCCTCCCCAGGGTTTGTTGTTGTTGTTAAGTGTTGTTGAGTCGGTTCCCACCCATAGCTACCCTGTATAGGGTTTCCGAGGCTGTAAATCTTTATGGGAGCAGAACGCCTCATCTTTCTCCTGCGGAACCGCTGGTAGTTTCGAACTGCTGCCCTTGAGGTTAGCAGCCAGAGCTCCCTGGCTACTGTATCTAAAATGTCAACGCCCAACCATTATACTTCTCTTTTTTTTTAATCTTAGATTTACTTCTACCTAGAATACGTGAAAGCTCATGTATTTTCTTGTGTATTGTTTGTCTTTCCCACTAGATTGTAAGCTCTCTGAGGCCAGAGTGTAAGACAGTAATTGTTAAATAAATGAATGGTAGCAATTACCCTGGCCTTTGGTTGCATTGTTTATAATGAATGAGATGTTTTCAATCCCATTTGAATGTGGTTCACCAAGGTCTCTAGTTCTCACACCCCTGTCCCCGCTGAGAGGGAGGCAGTGTGGTCCGTATGGTACAGGCCATGACAATTAGCAGTTAGCACAGGCTTTATTCAGTGAGCCAGTCTTACTGGAGACATTTCTCTGGGCTGGGCTTTTAAATGCTATAATAACCATGCTTTCTTCTGCCTAGTCTCTGTGCCTTTTCTCCTCCCTCAGCTTCAGGAATAGTTAGTAACATGGATTTTAGCTAAACTTTATCCTCTCTCCACATATTACAGTTCTTTTGGCTAATGAAGCCAGTGTAGCAGTTCACATATCAGAAGTCAGAAAAAAGAACTGTGTGGGCTAGAGACTTCCATTTGCTATACTTGCATCCCTGGTGACAGATGCAAGGCTCTGTTGAGCCTTCCCATCGCTTTGCTGGGTTCCATGAGCATTCAGTGCTTGTCTGATGTTAAGTTTTACTGCCCATGAAAGCAAACATCACCTCTGTCATGGCCAGTTAAACAGTATCTTTTACAGTGGACTTCTGCATATCTGAAACCCACCCACCCAAAGCCAGACGTAATGCCGGGCTCGGGCTCGGGAGAGAGCTTATTTTGCCATGTTTCTTACAAGGGAGATCAAGGGTCGACTCAATTCATAAAATTACTGCAGTCATTTTTCAGCTGGCTGAGAGACTTCACAGATCAAAAAATACAGTGGCTGCTAAATGATTTCTGATATGCACAATTCTAGTGTTTCTTATTCTCAGCATGTGGTGCAGAGCCTGCCAGAAACCATCCTTGCTACTATTGACAGGCGGATTAGAAATCATCCTCATCCTCGATGGTTTCAGTCATTTCTCTCCAGACCAGTTATCCATTTAACTGCATAATGCCACTTCCTCTCAAAGTCTGCTTTGTACATGCTTAGCCCTTATGTTTCGCTCTTCTCTTTCAGTGCGGTGCGCACCTTGGGCACATTTTTGATGACGGACCTCGTCCAACCGGCAAAAGATACTGCATAAACTCGGCTTCCTTGTCTTTCGCTCATGCGGAGAGCAGCAGTGGTGAAGCAGCCTGCGCGGGCAGCAGCCCAGCCCCCGCCTCGCGGGACAAAACAGAACTGTAGGCTGGAGAGCAGCGGGAACAAGTGTTCTTAGCGCACAGCTTATTCAAAACAACTCAAAAGCGTCTATCTTAATAGCGATATTTTTTCAAAAAATATAAAGACAGTTTTGTGCAGTTTGCTTTTTTGTTTTTCAATTTCTTTTGCTTAAACAGAAGAGGCCAGGCCTCCCACCTCTTTTGCTACTGACTCCATCAGGAATGGTTCATAGCTTTAGTGAACAGAGACAGCCTTGTGTAGCTTCTGCACAAGCTCTCTAAGTACCATTTGGCATTGTTCAAGTCCCATAGCTGATTTTGAGTTTTGCTCTGTTTATTTGATCCTTAAGAGGCACAGGGTATCTGGATTTCAAACATAAATATAGGCATCTTCCATGCAACCAACACTCCGACTGGGCAGGGTTTCGAGGCCTGTGAGACAGATGGTCAGAAGGCATGTAGATGGTTCGGCCCAAGATAAGGATGGAATGATGTCTTCTGAGGCTTCCAACTTTGTGGAAAGTTTGAGCTAAGATCGTTTATTCTCACTAAAAGATTGTGAAGGTCTAAAGTCTCTTCTTATGTTAAATTATTGCCAGATATGAAGGGCGCCTTGAGTGTTGTGGCAGAGAAGTAAACATTACCTCACAGTTAGGCCTTTATTTCAGTTTATTTCCCCTTGAAAACATTGGAATGTAGGACAAATGTAAAATTTTGAGGCCCATTGGTCCGAGTTCACCAAGAACACCTGCCATTGCCTTTTTAGAAGTTCTCCCCTCCACACCTAATGGCAGCTGCAGCTAGAAGAGCATTTGGGTAAACTCCACTGTGTAAAATAAAATATTAGAGACAGGATACTTCATCAAAGACGCAGAAAATCTGACAAGATACTACAAGTAATGATCCAGGCCCAAAGGGCATATACACATTTTGCACAAAGCTCTGAGGGTCTCCTGGAAAGATGTTGGGATTAAAATAAAAATAGCCAGGAGCTCAAATTCTGCCCTTGACACTAATCTGCTATATGACTATGGCAAACCATTTACCCCTCTTGTGCCTATTTCTCCATGTATGTAATGGGACTCATAATATTTGTAAAATGTGTTGACACTCTCAGGGCAAAATTATGATGTTGCTATACAGTCGAGATCAGTTATGTAAAATTAAACTGGTCTGGTTCTAATTGCCTCAAAGGCACAGGCATTTGAAATGGAAAGAAGCAGCGAGGAGGTTGACTTAGATGATTGGTGTGGAAACAGTTGGGCCCAAAGCCAGAAATTTTTCTTTGTAGCAGTATGGCTGGTTTTACTCTGAGAAACTCTGCTCAGTTGCTTTATACCATTTAGTCTGATGAAATGGATGTCCATATGTACGATAAGACTCTCACAGATCTGAGGAATGATGTAAGGTGAAGGTGCTTAGTCAGGTGTGAAGGCATAGTTTGTCAATGATAGAGATTGTGCCTATAGCCTTGAATGCTCATTCTAAAATGTAATGATTTTTTTAAATTATTTTTTGTAAACCTTGGATAGCTTATGCAAAACTGACATCCTTCTTTATGGGCATCAAAACAAAGATAAAGAGAATTTCTTGCCAGTTTTAAAGAAAAAATTAAAACTCTAAATGACAAGTTGTGACAAATCAGAATGTCAGTGTGATCCTGTGCACTTAACTTCCATGTCCCCAGGTGAAGCCCTGACATCCTGGTGACTCTCTGTGTCACTCACACTACAACTTGACAGCTCCAGGCAAGTCTTGCTCTGCCTCCCTTATCTGATATTGTCCTTCAGGCCCTGGGTCACTAGGCAATTTTCAGATTTCATTCCCCTTCTAATATTAGATGTAAAATGTAAAATCCCACAGAGAGCAGGGAGACTTCAGCATCCAGATCATCTTTGAAACCTTGTCAGCTTGCCTGGGTGCCTGGAGGGAGCCTCAATTGTTCTCAGGGATCCTCACATGGTGGCAGCTACAGAAGTGGGTCTCCCAGACCATTCCTGTCACAGTCTGTAGCCCATCCTTCAGGGCCACATGCAGAACTTTTCATACTGCTCTTGCTATGTGTGGTGGCTTCCCCAGGGTCTACTGGACAAGAACCAGAGTGTTAGAGTAGATGAGGAAGATAAATGAGGGGCTTCTTCCCTCTCCCCACAGATTCTGGATTGTCATTATTCCTTCATTTTTAATGTGGGGCTTAGCATTCCCCTCATAAAACTGCTTTCCTAATCCTCAGTCTTTGTTTCACAGAAAGCCAGTTTTTCTTCACATCAATGTTAAGAAAAATGCAACATCCATTGGGAAAAAAAGTGGGGTGTATGCATGTGGTTTAATTCCAGATTGCTTTTGAGTTTAAGTGGTATCAAATTTCACTATATTTCTGTCTTATGTTAAAGAAATATATTGCTAAAACGTCAGTGAGCAATAATGCCAGCTGTTGAACACTAGATTTATTTTTGCAGGATATAGAGTGCAATGAACTGAGTCAATATGGTGAGGTGTATGTGATCTGTGGGAGTTATAGCCTTTAACATACGGCAGGATGTATTCCTGACTATACCATTAGAGAAAGCAGGATTCTGCGCAGTGCATTTGCATAGCCATGTAGGGGAAAGCAAGCTGCTGTATATAGTGTCTAGAGAACATTGCTGTATGTTTAAACTTTTCACTTCTGAATGCAAATGGAACCGCAATTTGAAAACCTCTCTATATTGATTATATATATATATAATGTATGTATATATATGTATACATACACATACATACTTATACAGTACCTTGCTTTAGATATTAAAAATGATTCAAGGGATTATCATTTGCTTTGAAAGTCAAGTATTATTAATTTTGCCTTAGATACCTTTGTAATAACTTTTCTCCAAATAATTCAAAACTTTTGAAAAACGTCATGAAATTTTCATTAAGAAAATCCTTTTCCTATGTTTATTGTATACAGAAATTATGCAATAAAATTTCTTTATAAAAACATTCTCTTCTCTTGATTCCTAAAACACCTCTCGTTTTTAGCACATATTACAGGGATTGCCCACTTACTCTGTTGCCCTCCTTACTCAGCTGACATGTTTAGTTTCTATGTTGTAGTTGTTGTTGTTAAGTGCTGTCGAGTCGATTTTAACCCATAGCGAAGGGTTACCTAGGAGAAGCTGGCGAGCTTGAACCACTGACCTTGCAGTTCAAACGACTTTGCAGTGTGACGCATTAGCCCACAGCGCTATGTTGTAGTTAGGTGCCATCAAGTGGATTTTGAATCATAGCGACCTTGTATAGGGGTTTCCAAGGTTTTAAATTTTTTCAGGAGCAGAAAGCCTCATCTTTCTCTCATGGAGTGGCTGGTGAGCTCAAACCACCAACCTTGTGGTTTATAGTTTCTATAGAAGGTCTTTTATCTGATGTGACTGTTGGAAGTAGGGGGAGGTCCACCTCTCATACTCTAGTCCCTGGATAAGTCCTCCAGGTATCCGAAAGACTGGAGGAAAGAGACCCATTTGCGGAATTATTAAACCTTTAACTCAGCCAAACCTTTAGCAGCTTGTGTGTGTTTTTGCGTTTAAAGTAGGACTTTGGGGAATTCCATCATGATAACTGTAGGGATAAAAATGCAAGGATGATACCGTGCTGATACTTAGGCTTCTATTAAAGAATTTGAAAGGAAATATATACTATTGTCAAACACGGTCTCTAATGAAACATGGTGGAAGTTTCTCATTGCTCCCAGATGAATTCATTTAAAAAGTCATCTCTCAGTATAATAGTAATTGCTCTACAGGTGTTTTATTTTAACTTCTTTAGTTTTTTTTTGTTTTTGTTTTTTTTTTTAGGGGAGGTAAAATAGAGTGATGAGAACTTCGGTTTTTCAGTCAGTTTTTTTTTTTTCTCAAACTTTTTATTGTGAATTGAGTGAAGGTTTACAGAGCAGATCGTCAGCTTTCTTTTCAACAGTTCATACACACTTTGTTTCATCCTATTGATTGCAATCCCCACAATGTAACCTCTTATCCTATGTCCTCGCTGTTTTCCCTACTTCTATTTCTCCTCCTTTCCTAACCTTTCTGAGCTTCATCCTGGGGTAAATGCCCTTTTGATCTCAAATGGTGGATTACTCTATTACGTGCATACTTCACTAGTATTATTGGTCTCCTTACAGACCTCTTACTGTTTTTAAGTTGTATGTCTGTTACCCTAAAAGTCAAAGGTCACCAATTCCATGTAATGTACCGTAGAACAATAGTGTCTTAAAGTGTGGCCCCAAGATTGTAGCACCACCTGAAAATTCAGAAACACAAGTGCTAAGGTCCCATCCCAGACTTAGAAATTCTGAGACTGGGGCCTAGGAATTTGTGTTCCATCCAATCTTCCATGTAATTTGATGAATGCTGAAGTTTGAGAATTACTACCTTAGAACTCTTAGTTACAAAACTTCAATTAATATTTATTTTTAAATCATATCTGTTGCTTAAATATTCTTGTTTTATCATCACAAGTTTTCTTTCTATGTTGTTGTGTGCTGTCCTGTTGGTTCCAATTCATCGTGACCCTGTTTAGGGTTTCCAAGAAGTGGCTGGTGGGTTTGAACTTCCAGTCTTGTGGTTTAGCAGTCCAGTGCTTATCATAAAATGCCACACACTAGGACCACTTTTTTTCTATAGGAGTGGGTAAAGTGGCTTTCCCAAAGCATCATACTTTTAGCAATTCTTGCCCTTGGCTGCATTTCTCTCCATCTGAAGGCCTAGTCTGTCCTTATCAACTAGAGCTGCCTGCCTTAGCTGCTGTTTGCAGTTCTGGTTGAAGCTGGGTTGCCCAGTGGTGCTCATAAATACTTCTCTAGAACGATGGGATTTCCATGGCAGAACTCATCTCAGTAACTCAAAAGAAGTAGGAAACATCTCAGTGCAGACATTTATGGAGATCTTTCCCATCTCGTCCATTTCACGGGGCCTGTACCTTTCATTGTCACCCTTATGTTTCATTTAACCCTTAGAGAGATTTTTGCAAAGGTGCCACATACTTTGA